AGCAGCTGGAAGGAGACTGCTCTGGCAGGATGGCAGAGCATTTATCTCCTGTAATAGCAGTCTACTGGGGAAGCCTCACTAGTGGCTGGTGCGTGGGCTCACTCGAGTCCAGGCTGCATCCCGTTGTCCCTGTGCCAGCTTCACACAGATGCTGCAGATGGGTTCCTGCCACTCGCTGGTGTTTGGGAACACAGGGTCTTTGTCTCTACTTCCCAGTGCTGGCTTTGGATCAGGGTGTGGAACCCCCTTCCTCTGCTGCCCTCTCTCCTCAGAGCCCATTTGGTCCATGGTGAAAGGTATCTCACCCTCCCTGCTCTCTCAGGCCCCATTCTTGGAGGAATTGGGAATTTGCTCAAGCGTTCTGCCCTTCCAGGCACTCCTTTGTGTTCTTCTGGCCATCCCCTCTGCAGTGTGGGTGGATGGCCAGGTGTGTTCTCATTTTGCTGTTAATTAAGCTGACTCTGGGCGCTGGGATGGTTGGTATGTGGTGCACAGAGCTGCTCCCAAGCCATGTTCTGCGGTGCACATGTATGCCACAGCCCTGCTGTGCTTTGTAAGCACTGTGCCCCTTCTTTAGTGCACCCCAGGGCTGCGGGTGCCTGTCTCCAGACCCCTTGTGCCCCTGTGCACAGTGGTGCTGCCTCAATGCTCTTGCTCTCTGCATTTTTCCTGTGCTCCCCTGCTGTAGCTCATGGGGGACTTCAGCGCTAATCGGGCCTGACGAGCCTGTCTCCATGCTGCATGGCAGTGCCACAGATGTCACATCTGGGGGAGGTGGCTCCCTGGGATGGCCAGGCTCCCGCTGGGGACTCATCATGGGCTTTGCTGCCACCCGTGGGATGGGGAGAGGCTCTGCTGGGACAGGGGTGGGGGAGCAGGGGAAGCACCCCTGACACCAGACCCCAGGGATGGCCCATGGCAGGGTCAGGTCTGCCTGCCCCCGTCCCATCGCAGGGCAGTGCACCAGCCGTACCTCCACCCCCAGCGGTGCTGACCCTTCCCTGTGTCAGTGCTGGGGAGTCAAGGTCCCTCCGTGTGCTGCCCCCTGCTCTGGGGCCACCTGCACCCCTTGCCATTTTTTCCTAGAAATGGCTGGGGACACTCGGTGTCCTCGCACGGGGAGGAGACAGGAGGTGTTGGAGTGCCAGGGGAGCTTGTGGGGCGCTCCCCGTGTGCGGGGCGGCTGTGCCACGTGTGTTCCCAGGCACACACCGCAGCACCTCGCTGATGCGATGGGACGTGGCTGGTGTGAGGAGACTGGCGTTTTCCCCGTGAGGAAACCACGGCACGTGGCTGCCAGCAGCCAGCCCGCGCCACAGGGTGCTGCGGGGACACCGGGGGCTCTGGGGACACTGGGGGCTCTGGGAACGGGGGCTGGAGGGACACTGAGGGCTGTGGGGACAGCAGGGGCTGCAGAGACAGAGAATGCTGGAGGGATATCAAGGTCTGCGGGAACACTGGGAGCTGTGGTGATAGCGGGGGCTGTGGGGGGACAGCCAGGGCTGCAAGGACACTGAGGGCTGCAGCACTGCAAGGAAACCTGAGGGCTGTGTTGGGGGCACAGACCCCCCTAACCCATCCAGACCTGGGGCACCCTGATTCCTGCCTCGCCAGCCGTGTGACAAGCAGCAGCAGAGCCCTTGCATGCTTGGGCCACCTCCTGAGACATTTGCATGCTCAGCACCCTCCAGGGCAGCCAAAGCTGCCCTGGGCCCTAGTCCCAGGGACATGCAGCCCCTCTCCAGGGGACTCATTGCTAATGGGGGTCCCACAGCCCCCAGGCTCGCCCCCCCATGTCAGCACCAGTCCTCAGACAAGGTGGTGTCTGGCTCCCACCAGCCCTGGGCGAAACTGTGGATGTTGTCAGTGGGGCTGGATACAGAGGATGGAGGAGCAGGATGGTGGGAGGTGGGCAGCTGAGGGGGATTCACCCCAAAAGACCTCCCTGCCACCAGGTCAGGCTGATACAGGTCTGTCCCTCTGGCAGAAGGCAGCCCAGGATGCTCCAGCACAGCCACGAGGTGGTCTGTGCCACATGCCTGGCACAGACTCCATGGCTGCAGGAAGGATGGGGTGGCTGTTTGGGAGGGGTCTGGCCCCAGACTCCCCCTCACAGCCCACAGGGGTGAGTGTGGTGGGCAGGGGCTGTCTGATGGCATGTGCAGCAGGACATCCCCTCACAGGGGTGTGCAGTGACCCTGGGAAGTTTGGCACACCACTGTACTGCCCCAGAAGTGCAGCGGGGCTCAGCTCTGGGGGACATGCCCTCAGTAGATGAGTTCCCTGGGTACTTTGGGGGGATCTGAGCTCCCCAAGGGCTGTGTTTGGGATGCCAGGGGCAGGCGGGCAGCAGGGCACAGCTCTGAGGCAAATGGGGGGCTGTTGCACGATGAGGGGCTGTGGCAGGCGGGGGAACTGCGGGAGCTGGGGTGCCACAGCGGGCAGTACCCTCTGACACCGTCCCCTCACCCCGCTGGCCGCAGCGTGGAGCACGATTTCCGGCAGCAGGAGGGCCGCTTCCAGCGGGTGCTGAGCCACATCGAGGGCGACGCCGGGCCGAGCCCCATCCCGATGGCGACGGGGCTGGCGGGGGCAGTGGGCACCACCTCACCGCCCAGGCAGGAGCTGTCACCGGTGCCAAAGCTGCCGGTGAAGTTGGATGTGAAGAAATCCCGGCGCAAATGCTTCTGGTTCCTGTGAGCACGGTGCCTGATGAGCGCCAACGGAGCGCAGGGGCACCGTCCCAGCACTGACCCCCTGCCCACCTCTCCTCCCTCCCTCCTACGGTAGGGTTTGGGTAGCACCAGCTTTTCTATTTTTAATCGTTCCGTTTAACGCGGGGAGCCCAGGTATGGAAATGGCGAGGGGAGCGGTGGCTGTATTTAAGGAGAATTCAATAAATTCCACAGAGACGCTATTTTTGTTACATCCTCTCCTGCCTGTGCACTTTTGTTCTGGAGGATGAGAAGGGGGCAGCAGCTGTTGCCCTGGACTCCCCAGGGCCGCTGGCAGCCCCCATGCCCCCAAGTCTGTCCCAGCTCAAACCAGTGCCTGTCCCTGCACCCTCCAAAGGGGCCTGCTGGCCCACCCTCCATTGCTGCCTGCAGGTTAACCAGGAGCACTGAGGATTTCCACTGGTCAGAGAAGGTGGAAAACAGTCTCTGTGGGACCCTGGCCTGGAGAGACCTGTCCCCAAAATCCCTTAGTGGAAGGGTAGGCTGAGCAGGGGTCCCATGGGTAGGGAAGAGGTGCTGATGACAGGGAAACAGGAATGAGCAGCTCAAATATTTCAGCCTCTCAGGGGCTTCTATGAGAGGAGAAACTCGGTGTTGGTTTAACAAGGGTCACGGAGCAGCAGTGGGTGTCTGACATATCCCAAAAACACAGCAGTCAGTGTTCCCTGTACTGTGCTGATTCCCAACCACCCTCCACTACTGTGGAGCCACTGGTGAGAGCTCCTCAAAGCCCGGGGCACCTGGGTGCCCACCTCAGCATCCAGGAGCCTGCCAGGGTCTGCCATCTCAGTGCAGCAGGAGCAGTCATGGTTTTCCCAGTGGGGCCATTGCCCTTGGGGAGGGGGACGTCTCCTGGTCTCCTCCAAAAGTATGGGGCACCCCTGGCCATGGCAAGCAGCTGCTGCAGCCACAGACAGGAGCGGAGGGTGGGCAGGTTTGGCCACCACTCTCCAGTTGGTGCCCACACCATGGCACCCCAAAGCAGGAGATGCACACATGCAGGAGATGTCTCGGTCTTAAATCCCATCCCTTGTGCTGGGGACTCCCTTCGTACTCAAGGGGCTACAGCTGGGAGAGTGACCCTGAGATGCAACTCCCTTCTCACCCAGCAGCAACAGGATGGACGGGCACTGCCCTGGTGTGGGCACGTGCACCTCCGGTCCCCTTGGCCCTCCCCAGCCACTGGAGCTGCTGGGGCAGCGTGAGCTGAGGGTCTGGGATCCCTGACTGAGGGCAGGGACTGTGGCAGCAGCACAGGAACCATGGACGGTGCCGGGAGAGCTGCTAGACGGCACTTGAGGAGCCCCGAGCGAGGGGCAGGAGCACGGCACAGCCAAAGGATCCGTCCCTGAAGCCCCCCCATCACCCCTCACACCCATCACTGCTCGGCAGAGCCCCCACGGCGCATTTGGCTCCGGCTGCCCTGGGCCCTGAGTCACACAGCCCGGGAACAAGGGTGAAAAGCAGGATGGAAGCCAGTTTGACCCTGTGTCTATCTCCTGCCTGAGTCACAGCTGCATCACACCCTGGTGCTGAGATCCGGGCACAGCCCTGGTGGCAGAGCTGCTGCTCTGGATGCCCACACCTCCCCCGGCACGGTATGGAGCGTGGCACGGTACAGCATGGCAATTCCCTTCTCTGGGCTCCCAAAACACAGGCTCTTCACACACCCCGTGACCCAGCACAGTGCCTGGGTCTGCCACCATGTCCACATTGGAGCTCCTGAGCCCCCACTGGCCCCAGCTCTGACCCCTCCCATCACTCCCAGTGCAGCTGCTCCATGTGCTCTGGTCTGCTTCCCTTCCCATGTGTCCTAGCACATTCCTAACACATGTTCTTGGCGTGTAAAACTATGATGGTTCACCAGGTCCAATTACTTGTTTTCCAGAGAATGCAGCCCAGACCCTTCACTGCTTCCAAAACAGGCTTCCTGCACCTCTGACCCCTGCCCACTCTTCCCGACGCCCCTGCTGCTCCAGCCCTGCTCCCATCACAGCTCTGGCTTCCTCCTTTATCCCGCTGTGGTACATGCCCACGCATCCAGCCCCAACCCAACTCACCCTGCTCCCAGCACGGCTCCTGTTTTCCCCTGCATTTAGCTGGGCACACCCCTGGCATCCAGCCCCAGCGCACTGGGAACCACTGGCAGAGCCAGCAAGGAGCAGTGCTGCTCACCCACACCCAGATCCCCAAACCAGCAACCCCTCGTTCCTCTCCCTCATGGCCCAAAGGGAAGCGGTGTGGCCGCGGCGCAGCGGGACTCACCCTCAGCGGGTTCTCCCGGTCCAGGACGATCACTCTGCGGCTGACTGTGCGCAGCAGCCGCTCCAGGATCACCTGGATGTGCTTCTTCACCTGCACCTGCAAGGGAAGAGGTGTCAGGGCCATACCAGGACATGTTCCAGCCATGGGGCACATCCCAGCTGTGGGGCACAGCACGGCACACCACAGCTCATTCAATCCCCACGCAAGGACTGGTGGCATCAGGGTGGCAGGGTGGGAACGAGCCGATCCAGGGCCGGAGTCAGAGCACGGCCGTGTGCTCTGGTGTAAATATGGGACTCGAAATCTCTGTACAGCACAGCCCCACAAACCTCCCTGGCAAAGCGGCCACCTGGCTGGGGACAGTGGGAACAGCTGGGGATGGCTGGGAGTGACAGAGACGGCCACATTGGCACTGAGCAGGCAAAGGTGGGTTCAGCTCACGTGGGACTGAAGCAAGCACAGAATCCTCCCCTGAGAGAATCCCACCACCCTCTTCATAAAGGCTATTTTAGATTTAAGAGTTAAGCCCAAAATAAGACATTTCACCACAATTTCTGAGCTTTCCCTCCTGCTCCTTGGCTTCCCAGTGCTGTGGGGGTCAAACAGCCACCACGCCCTCCCAGAACACGGTGCAGATGTCCACCTTAGTTTCCACAACACCACTCACTGCGCTTCAGGTTTGACACCTGTGTGATCTCCCAAAGGTCCCTGAAAGGGGCTCCAGAGCACAGAGCAGCCAGGGGGGGCAGGAACAGAGGAAGGGTCCTGCAAGCACTGAGCCCTGCACCTTCCCAAAATGTGTGGGAATGGCACTGCCAGCAGTAGACACGATGTCCAGTCACCCAACCCAGCTGTAGGAGGGCTGGGCTGGCAGGCAGGGACAATGATGGGCTCACCAGTGGCAGGGCCATGGTCGATGTGGCCGCAGGAAGGCAGGGATGGGCAGCAGCCCCAGGAAGCACAGGGAGAGGGGGGCAGCTGCCAAAATCTGGGCATGCAGAGACACCCCCCATCTGAGCGGGACTCAGCTGACCACACATGGTTTGTCACCAAAGCCAGATGCAGACAAGCCCTTCCCAAAGGCTCAGGATCATCCAGACCCTTCCAACCCATGCTGAGGCTGCTGGAGGGACACTCACCAGCTCCAGGTCCCCACAGTCCTTGTCCCGTGCTCGCAGCTCCTCCGCGCTCTGCAATCACAGCACCCCAGGAACCGGACTGAGACCCTGCAGGGATGGTCCCAGCCCACCCTGGATGGGCCACATTTGGGTGGGCAGGCACCCACAGCTTCTTCCTCCCTGGCTTCACCTCCTCCCTGGCCTCACTTTTCCTCCTGCCCTTGCCTTCTTCCTAGCTCTGCAGAGCCAGCAGTGTCCCCCCCCCCTCAGGTCAGTGCAGTCCCTGAGCTTGGAAGCCCCTCCCTGACTCACGGGAATGGAGGGGAACCTACAAGAGACCCCCTGAGATGGAAACCATCAGGTTTTTACCCCATCCCAGGCAGGTTCCTGCTGGGATGGCACCCACAGTCCCCTCTGTGACTACAGTCAGCTCCAACCACATTGTGGCCAAGAATTTGTGTCTAACCCCACTCCGAGTGATTTGGTTGGGTCACTGGCCAGATAATTCCTGAGTTACCTTCTGGGCCTGGTACAGCACCTCCAGGATGCTGCTGAGCAGCTCAATGCAGGCGTCCTCCTCCTCGCCTGCCTGGATCAGCTCCCGCAGGATGGGCAGGGCTGCCTGGAGCACCAGTTCCCGGCACTCTGAAGGGAACAGGGGGGCACAAAGATGAGCCACTTGCCCCTGCTCTGTGAAGACACCACAGGCATGGGGCAGAGGAGGTGTCCCTGTGCAGGGAATCGTGCCCATTCTGTGCCATAGCCCCCAGGTGAGCTCAGCAAGGGCCGTGTCACCAGGATCCCTCTTATGCCCCCTCTCACCATGGGACTGGAAGACTCTGCTGCTGGCGATGTGGGTCAGGGACTGCAGCTTCTGCCTCAGCAGGCGCTGGGGTGGCAGGTTCCCCACGAAGTCCCGCAGCACGGCCCTGCCGTTGGGAGAGGGGTTAACCCCGGACCCCCAGGTTCTGCTCAGGGTGGGGCTGCTGGGCAGGGGGAGCCCCTCGATGGGGCAGAGCCATGTGGGGCAGGATGGTCCCAGAGGACAGCCGTGCCCACCACAGACATTGCAGGCACCCAGCGTACAAACCCTGCCCGAATTCCCAAAACATACACCCAGCTGGGGCACAGCCCCTGCCCCGGCACAGGCAGCTGCTAAAACTGAGCAAACCCCTCCCATTTTTGCACCGGGAAGGGGATCAGGAGGTGATTCACAGGCATTAGGAGACCCAGACCCCTACACTTAGCCTCACTCTCGGCTCTGGGTCAGACACAGGGACAGAGGCAGCTGTGGAAGGTGCCAAGTGTGACACAGGGCTGGGAATGGTGGGGGCACAGGGACAGGGACAGGGACCCTACCCCAATGCAGAGGAGTCAAAGATCCCAAACACATCCTCGAGAATGGAGGGCAGGTACTTGAGGGCTGCTCCCTGCAAAGAGACCGGAGAGCTGCCAGCACTGACCCAGCACTGACGGGCAGGGCACCCATGGCTCTGCTTCCCAGACAACACACGTGCCGAGGGGCTGTGGCCACGGGGGGTTCAGGCAGGGGATGGAACACAATGGTCTTAAAGTCCCTTCCAACCCAAACCATTCACTGATTGTGAGATTCTATGAGATTGGAGTATCGATCCGTGTTCAGATGGGAGAGGGGATAAGGAGCCCCTCTGCTCCATGGGGATGACTGTCCTGTTGGCCTTCAAACTCCTTTTATTTTTCAGTTGGATCAGATTATATGGGAATGTCCAAGAATGTCATGACATAGTTAAGCACAGGGGCTGTCCCAGGGCTACCACACCTGCAGATGGGGTCCTCACCCTGCAGAGCCTCTCTCCAGCTGGAAGACCACGGGTGCAGAGTGTGGTCCCCTTGCCGTTGTCACAGCACCCCAGACACATCTTGCCCACACCAGCTCTGCTCCTGCCAGCCCCATGTGCCAGCCTCCTCCTGGCTGCAGAGAACGGGGCCAGGCCAGCTCCAGGATGGGGATAAACGCCAGAAGTCCTCCCCAGACCCCCTCCCCAGCCACTGTCACCCTGACATGGTCACAGTCAGTGTCATCGCTGCCCAGACACAGACAGCACCTGGCCCAGGCACCCTCCATCCCACCACACAGCAGAGCTGAGCCCTCCCAGCACCTCCCCACGCTATACCTGGGAGAGCAGTGTGGGACCCTCCAGTGGGGACTCCATCAGCTGGTTCAGGGCAAGGAAGAATCGCTGTAGTGAGCGCTGGAACTCGGCCGTCTCCTTCCCCCCGTAGAGCCTGCAATGGCCAGAGTCACTGTGCTGTCACCGCACTGCCACCATCCCACACACCTTTCCCAGCACCACCTGCCTCTGCTCAGGGCTCACCTGCCATCCCAATTAATTACACTCTTCCATGAACATTTGCCACGGTTGGATCCAGTGGTGAGCCCTGGCACAGCCACTGTGTCGGCACTGTCACTGCCCTGGCACAGCCACAGCCCTGACGGTCACAGACCTGACACAGCCACTGCCCAGTATGGCCTCAGACCTACTCACATCAACACTTTATTTTTATAACGAGTCTCATTTCTGTGATTTCACACCCCAGATCCCTCTCAGAGAAGGTTGGCACTGTCCCACTCGGGCAGGAGCCTCCTGAGCCCTCACCCCAACCACACCCCACACCCCCCCTCCCCCCCGCAGGACCAGAGCAAACCAAATGGGGGAATTTTAGCTGTGGGATGTGCAAAACTGCAGGAAAACTGCCAAGCTGCAAAGCAGAGGTGTGATCATAGGAATAAAGTCACTGCAGTGGGCTGTGTTTGAGGTAATTCCCCCATCACTGACACCAAGCACAGTAAGCCACGTGGCAGGAATAATTATCCAGCCATCAGCTATGTAAGGAAATCCTGGAATTGTGGAATAGTTTGAGTTGGAAGGGACCTCAAAACCCATCCAGTCCTACCCCCTGGTATGGGCAGGGACACCTTCCACCAGACCAATTTGCTCCAAGCCCCTTCCAGTCTGGCCTCAAAATCCACGTGGACTGCAGCAAATCCACACTGACCGCGATTCACATAGAGAGGGGCAGGGAGGTTCCTGGGAAGGGATGCCCTGGTTCCTGGGAAAGGAAGGTTCCTGCCCAGGAACCCCTGCAGCCCAGGTCAGTGAGAGGACAGCAGTTGTGATGGCCTTTGGGGACCCCAGCAATGTCCCCCTGGGAGAGGTCTGGGGGGATACTCAGCAGCCATGGGGTCCCCAGCTGCACCAGTGACTGCTGACAGCAGGAGCAAGGGGCTGGTCCTTCCAGGGGCGTTGGGAGACAGGAGAGAGACTAGCAGAGCCCATGAGCGCTGCTGGAGGTGGGGTCTGGCTGCAGGAACCAGGGGGCTGTGCGAGGCCAGGAGAGGGGACCGTGAGCTGCGGAGCTGCAGGTGGCTGTGGAGGGGTGACGCCAGCTCACCCTGCTGACAGCAGAGCAGGCTGAGCGACAAGCACTGCGCAGGAAAAGCTTTGCTGCCCTCAGCAGTGGCCCAAAAGCAGAAGCAGCCGGAGGAACCAGCAAGGAGGAAGCAGCAAGCGGGGGACCATGTCCCCACAGTGCCGTCACCCACCCCACTGCCCACAGCTCCCTCCACGCGGGTGCTGGGGGGCCCTGAGGGGACATGGAGTGTCCCAAGGTGGAGGTTGGGACCCTCGATCATCCTCACAGCGCTCTGGGCTCCTTGCAGGAGCTGTGGGCACTGCTCATCCAGCTCCAGTAGCAGCACACGCAATCCCAGACCTGGCAATCTGCAGCAACTGACTCTAATTACAACCCAATTCCTGTTGATTACAGACTGTACAAATTGCTGCACGTTCAGAGCACTTAGAGGATCTGAGGCCCCTGTGTTATTGCATGTTGAGATCACTGAGATAAAGGGGAACTGAATAAAATTGCTAAATGTCCTCAGGGATGTCTCTGTTCCAGGCAAACTCATTCGTGGGGCTGTTTGCAAAAGCGCCGCGTAATTAATTTCCGAGGCCAGGAGCTCTATAAGCCAGGAATCTGCTCTGTGTCCTCATACATGAGGGAGAGGCAGGTGCTGAGTGTGATGCTGAAGCACCCCGGAGCCCTGGAGCACCCCGGAGCCCTGGAGCACCCCGGAGCCCTGGAGCCATGGATGGGGCCCTGGGAAGGGCAGGCAGGGGAAGCGGAGAGGACAGACAGAGCTCAAGGTAGCTCACACGGCGAGGACAGAGCGGGGTAAAGTGAGGTGTGAGGGTTCCTGGGGTGCCAGGATCCTGACAGAGCTCCTCACTGCCACTGAGGTTCAGAGCACCTCCAGGGATCCTGACACATCCTGGGCTTGGGGCAGAGGACGCAGAGCCCCTGCTCCCCCGAGAACAGCAGCCTGCCAACTGCGGCCCCTGCAGTGGGGTGATCCTGCCGCTGTGGGTGCCAGCCCACGCCCACCACGGGCAGGGGCCCTCATGTGTGGGGGGGGGACCCCGAACTGCCTGTTGTTCCCTCAGGACACTTCGGCTTTCTGTGTCATGTACGTGGAACGAAAGAGGAACGTCACTGGCTTTTCCTGGTAACACTGGTGGTCGTGTTCTGTTTTCCTCCTCTCCCACGCCCGTCTGGAGGAGGGCTGTTTGTCCCATCATGCAGACTGGGATGTGAACCCTGTGCCCACGGGCAACAAGCGAAACCAGGTCCTGAGCGGACTCTGGAGGTGCCGGGGAGGGGCTTTGACCTTGTCCTCAGCAGCAACAGGGAACCATTGAGGCTCCCAGCCCCTTGCACTGCTCGCCACAGGACCACGGGAGGGTTTGGGTTGGAAGGGGCTTCACAGACCATCCAGTTTCGGCCTCCTACTATGGACAGGGACACCTCCCACTAACCTTCCCAGTGTAGTGCTGGCTTTTCAGGGGCACAGGCTACCCGGGACATTTTGCTGTCTCCATCGTGGGAGGATTTGAAGAGCTCACTGGAAAACCCCCAGAGTCACTGCAGGGCACACGGGGTGTTTGGGATGCCCAGAGAGCAGACTGATCTCTCCTGCCCTGAGATGGATGGCACTGCCCACCCCCACACCAGACCACCCCCACTCCAGCAGCAGCCAGAGGAAGGGATGGAGCTGAAAATGGCCAGAATCTTCAGGGAGAGGACTCACAGTGATAGAGAAGTGTGGTTGGGGACCAGCCAACATGGCAGCATGGCCACAGTGTGCCAGAAGCGGTGGCTGCCACCCTGGGTGCCACATCAGCGGCACAAGGTGGGTCAAGGTGCCAGTGCCACTACCCTGGGACTGATGGTCAGCGCTGCCACTGTTCCTGCAGCACAGGGATGCCCTTCCTTCCCTCCCTCCCACAGACCCCACGGCCAGGGACCAGGCTCCAGCGGGGCATGGCACTGGGAGCACTGGGAGCCATTGCCAGCACTTACTGGGCAAAGAGGTGCCGGGAGCGGACGATGAACTTGAAGATGTACTCCAAGGCCTTGAAGGTGCGTGGCAGGGGCTCACAGGGCTCTCCCCGGCCTGCCTGCTCCACGTACTGAGTCAACACCGAGAGCAGCTTCCTGCAGGATGGGATGTGTGTGGTCAGGGATCGGCAGGTTCCGTGGCCTGGGCTGAGCTGTGGCTCAGCTCCCACTGGTGCTTCCAGCATTCCAGAGCCACCCCTTCCTGTATCCACTGTCTCAGTCCCATCCCTCCCTGTGCCAGATGTCCAAGCCCTGCACACCCACCCCCAGTTCCAGCTGTCCCAGCCCTTTCCCCCTCCCCATTCTGGCTGTCCCAGCCCACCCCTCCCTGTGCCATGGCCCCCAGGAACGCACTTGTAGGCAAGCGTGGCACTGAAGTGCTGGCAGATATAGGCCTCCAGGACTGTGTTGAAATGCTGGAACTTTCTGTCGGCCACCAGCCCCACGATGAAAACCTGGGGGCAGCCAGCAGAGGCACAGCTTGGCGTGGGCAGTGGGATGCTTGGAGACAGCCGGGTGCCAAAGTGGCATCGACCCCTCATGGGAGCTGCTGGGGCCACCAGAGCCCCCTGCACACCTGCCCAGCCTCTTAGGATAGGCAGACCCCTGAGGCGGAAAGCCCACCATGGGCCCCAAGCCCAGGTGGCCACAGGGATCCTTCATGGCCAGAACTTGCAGCACCACCAACCCCGGGTGTCCTACAACAGCCACCCTGACTCCCACTCTTCTCTGGGTCCCTCACCAGGGTTACTCTTGTCTTGGTGTAGGAGAAATGCCCCTGAATCCTGCTGGGATTGTCCCCCGGAGGGACAACATCCCCCACAGCCACAGCCCTGCCCCGTGCCAGGTCGGTGGGACAACAACCCGAGGCACTGCACGGCTCAGAGCACAGCTGGTCTGGTCAGACCAGTGAGCCCCATTGCTCCAGTCCAACCTCCTGCACTGGCGGGGGCTCAGACCCACATTCTGCACCGTGGGACTCACCAGGGCATCAAAGACAAGTGTGTCATAGACATCTGTGTCCGAGTGCTCCATCATGATGCAGAACAGGGCATCCAGTGTGTCCTGGAGGAACTGGGGCAACAAGAGGCCTGTGAGGGCTTGAGCGCTGACCCCAGCGTGGCACCGGCCCCAGCCCTGGGCGTGGGGAGGCTGTGGGTGCAGGAGCCGGGAAGGGAGGTGGGGGACAGGTCCCAGTTGTACCTTGATGACCTCCCCTCCATCCACATTCATCAGCTTCTGGAGGTTCCCGCGGAGCAGACTGGGCTTGGAGCGCCACTTCAGCAGCCCCAGCAGGTTCACTAGGCAGGAGGAGGGGGACAGTCACTGACAGACCCCAATGGTACCAACCCCTGGCTCCCCATCCCATCTTCCAATGTCAGTGACCCTTGGCTCCCTGTCCCACTCTCACTCCCCAGGGCAGCCACAATCCCGCCTGGAGCAGCTGGAACCTCCCAGTCCCCCCACACAACCACTGCTCAGCGCTGAAAGCTCCCGATGCCAGAGCCATAAAAGCACAAACTCAGCTAAATAGGTCATGGCTGTGGGAGCCGCAGTTATGCTGCAGGAAGTGAATTAATGGAGCCACCTTGGCCCCAAGCCCCTGCTCTGAACCGCAGTGACCCAGACCCCACAGTTGTGTCACCGTGTGCCGTGTGCCTCGAGTCCCCCACACCGAGGCCACTGTGTCACTGCACTTCAGCCTGAGTGGCACGAGCCATTCCCATCCTCCACCCTCACAGCAGGAAGGAGTGGACTCTGACCCCCTCACTGAGGGGTCATGTGTCTGCCAAGGGGAGATGTCTGTGCCAAGGGGGCACAAACACTCTTGCCTGCCCTGACCTGTGCAGAGCAGCCCTGGGCTGGACACTTCCCCAGGCTAACCCAGAAATGGGGTTTAAACCATTAAGTCCCAGTTCCCACACCAATTTCAAAGGAAGGTCATGAAGCCTCCAACAGTGACATTCAACTGGGAATTCTGCTCACTGCTGCTCCTCTCCCCTTGGGAACAGCCTTGGCCATTCTGACCAAGTCCAAACAGTAACTGAGTGCCCACTGTTCCCACTCTCCCAGTGTTTTTGGTGTTTTCAGCACACTGTCCTGGTGCAACAGATGCTGGAGAGCCAAATGCCGGGAGAAGTATGGTCCAGTGGGTGGGAACACCCCCAGGGAGGGGGCACAGCCCTGCCACTCCCACCACGGGGAGCCAGGACTCACCATTCTGGGTCAGCTTCGTGGAGCAGACGAGGGTGGAGATCTGGAAGCTGTCCCGGGTTGACACAGATAAGCCCGACGTGGCCCCACTCACACGGAAGGAGGAGCCAGAGAGGAGCTTTGACTCCGACAGGTTCCGCTCGGAGGGCAGGGACAGGTATGCGCTGGCATCCTCCAGCTTCCTGCTGTCACCCTGCGAGGCACAGCAGAGGTCACCCTGGGGGGCACAGCCTGGGATCTTCCTACTCCGTGGTGGGTAATGACAGATCCTGGAAGTAACTGGCTCCCCAACACTGACTGCAACAGAGCATCCCACAAAGCTGCTGCCTAAGGGGCTCTGCAGGGACCCTGCTCAGCTGGGAAAATTGGCTTGGAGAGATACCAAATCCAGACCTGTGCCATGCAGGAGGACACGAGAACAGGCAGCAGAAGTGGGGGGGAAGGCTGGTGACACAGAGAAATCTGAATCTGGGAATGAAACACACCTGACCACTGCTCTGGGGATGGACATGCAGCAGGACACTGACACAGGGTGGGAAACCAGCATGGAGCAGGACACTGACACGGAGCAGGACACCACCCAGGCATCTGGCACAGCTGGTCCCACAATATCACCAGTCCAATGTCTCCCACCTGTGTGTGTGCACGCTGGGGCCTTCACAGCCACAAACCAGTCTGTTTCTGAGTCCCCTACTCTAAGCTGAAAATGTAACTGATGTTATGCCCAGAAGGACTCACTGGGGTGACTCTGAATGACCCTGCCCTGCTCTTCGGCCACCCTGGGACATGGGCGATGCCCAGAGCTGGCCGGACACGCAGTGGTGGGCTGCAGCTCACATATGGCAGCAGAACCTGCATCCTCCCCTGCCTGTAGCCTCTCAGGATGTAACTCCTCTTGCTGAAGGTCAGATGAAGGTGACAGCTGTTTGCTGTTGGCTTTCCCCCTCCAGCACACCCCAGTGAGCAGCCACCATGTGGGAGCCCCATACTCCTTCCAGGGCTGAGCCTGCGCAGGGAAAACTGGCCAGAGTTCAGACCAACCGGAGATCAAGAGGTCTGAGCAGCTAAAAGCCCGTCACTCACATTCCTCTGGCAAACAGAGATAAAAAGATGAAATAGCTTCTGACTCCCAGAATCCAGCCCCAGTGTCTTCTGGGAAGAGCTGGAGTCAGCCAGGGAGAGTGTGGAGCGGGGCAGGATGTGGTGGCTCAGGGAGGGCAGCTACAGCCCTCTGAGGGGAACAGGGACACGGGGGGAGGTGTGGAGAGTTTGGTCTCCCAGGAGAGGGGTGTGCAGGGTTTGATCTCGCTGCCACAGCCAGCACTGGTACATTCTGAAGGTGCTCCTGCTGCAGAGGGGGCAGTCCCTGGAGAGCCAGGGACCAGAGCCAGTGCTGCAGGCCACAGCAGTGGTTAACGGATTTGGGTCTTTTGCCCAAAAAAAAAAGGCAGGGAAGAGGGACACAATAACCATTTCAAATGTGCAGGAGCCTGGAGTAGGAACAGCACGGTCTGTCCCTGTCCCCAGCTGCCACAGCAGGTGGAAGGAGATCAGCTCATCCCAAAGAGATGCAGGACTTGGGAAGGGACACAGCTCTGCCTGGAGTAAACGAGGTCACGCTGTCAAAATCAGGGAGCACTCCAGTGCAGTAGCCCAGCAGTGGAGGGGGTCAGGTTATCCCCCATGGACACTGGAGCCCCACGGCCAGGGAGAGACCCCAAAGCAGTGCCGGTATGTGGGGTAAGAGCCCTGAGCTCCCCTGGGCAGTGGGGAATGGCTTATGCCTTCCGCTCCCCTGGACACAGCCATCCCCAGTCCAGGGAGGGGACACCAGGCAAGGGGGACAGTGCCTCCTGGGTCCCTTCACATTGGAGCCCACGGCATTTTTCTCAAATGAACGGTGACTTTCCCTCCCCACGCCCTCCCTCTGCTCTCTCGGAGCAAACGCGGGCAGCGCCAGGGCTGGTGAAATCAGGTGAAGCGCAGCCACACTACGGGGACATTGCCTCCCCGTCACAAACATTCAAATCACCTTTTCCCAAACAAAACTTGTCATTCCAAGGGAGCAGCGGGGGGATTGGAGACACCGCGTGCAGGGAGCCCCCGCCACCAAGGACAGCGAGGACGGGAAGGGAGGGAGGGAGGGAGGGAGTGGGGCACTGGAAACCCTCGGGGACTTTGGATGCGTGCCACCGGTGTGGGCAGAGACGGGCACCCTGGCCCCAGGAGCACTGCTGTCCCACAGCCCCCCTGTACCTTGTAGAGCACCAGGTCGTGCTCCCCATCCCGCAATGTGGTGCCGTCGGGGCGCATCAGCCTCACAAAGGCCATGGAGAAAATCCGCTCGCTCCGGTCCTTGGCTGGGGGGGACACACAGGGGCGAGGTGAGGGGGTGTCAGAGGGGGCTGGGGGCACACCGGGTAGGGAAAGGCAGTGCTGAGGGGAGTGTTGCCCTCCCGGCAGCCACAGACACTTGGGAAGGGGGCAGGCAGGGGTAGGTGACAGCTTCCTGTCACCTGTGGGAATATGGGTTTTGGAGGACCCACGATGTACCCCCCGTGGTACGAGGTGAGGGCGGCCCATAGGACCCTCCTGTCCCAGCCCACCCCCACTGCAGCCCCTTTGGGAATGTCCATGGAGGAAGGCCTGGAGCAAGGGACACTCACAGTCACTGGAGGAGCGATGGCGGAAGGTGAACCTCAGGTGGGTCCTGTGGACATCCTCGATGGGAACGGCAATCTAAGGGGAATGTACACCCAGCTGAGGGTAGCGGGGCACAGGCTGAGCCCGCAGCCAGGCAATCCTCCTCTGTGCCTGGGCAAGGGCTGTGCTGGATCGTCCACTGCTGCAAACCAGCCCTACATCCTTCCCAAAAAACCAGTGAGGCTGAACTGGTGGCACTGGGGCCTGGGCAGGGCTGGTCGTGCCCATATTCAGGACTCCTCATCCAGCACTGCTGGTCACCCTGGGTCTCCATCCAGGAGTCATGCCAGGACACTGGCAGCATCCCTATCCTTCCTGGCATGAGGACCAAGGACTGCCCCCAAAAAGCCAGCCCGGATGGGGACCCCCTGCAGCAGTGGGGTTCTTCCAAGCAGGAAGAGGGAGGGCCACAGCCTGGAGGGGCTGCAGCCCCATCCCACCCCTGGCCCCATCCCCTGGGGCTCCCCAGACCTTCAGAGTCTCCATCCAGCGCTGGTGCCGCTGTTGGTAGTAGACGACGGAGCGGTAGTGGCTGGTGGGGCTGTCCCCCGCGCCTGCCTGGATCACATTCTGCCAGGACAAAATGCCTCGGGATCAGCCTAAACAAGCTTGCAGGGAGGAAGGATTTCCATCACCTGTCAACCTGGGCCACCCCCCAAGGCCCCCTGCCCACACGTCCCAGTACAGGTGCCCCTTTACCATAACCCAGCTGGCACTGGAATGTCTTTTCATCTGTCCCTTCCCCACCAGGTGGGAGGGGCAGCGAAAGGTGTCCGTGTCCCCATCTCCTCCACTTCCACCAGCCCTAGTGCCACTTCCACAGGGACCGTGAACCCCTGGGCATGTCAGGGCTTGGTTCCATTGCCCTGTCAGGAGGGTGCTATTGGGATGGAGATGGAGGAGGGTGCTGTGCCCCCAGACCGTTCCAGCCAGGCCCGCAGCAATTCCAGCCTGTTCCTCAGGGGCCAGGTGAGAATACATGTGAGAACACCTGGGGAGAGGCAAGGAGGGGGGGATGACCTGGCTCTGAGCCCCCTGCCCTTCTGCCAGCCCCCAGCTCTTCCTCTTCTGTCTCTGCAGGGATGGAGAGCTGGGACATCCCATGTCTGGGCACTGGGGGTGGTCAGGTGTTCTGGCTGTCCTCAGGGGAGGATGACTTCCTCTGTATCCCTCCACAGCACTTTTGCAGGTGTTTATTCTATTCCCAGATCTCTGTTCTGAGCTCCTCCAGCTCCTCTCAGGGGCTCCTCCAGCTGGTTGTGCTACAGGAGCTGCTGGCTCTGCCCGAGGCGGAATGACACAGGGGACTGTCCTGGGTCTGGGGCTGCCCCACGTCTGCCATACCTGCACCACACTTCCCGCCTCGTCGCAGACACACACGGTCACCTCCACGTTCTTCTGCGTCTTCTTGTTCCCCTTGTCGAACTCACCCTGCACCAGTGTCAGGTAGATGTCGTTCCTGACGTCACCTGGGGGGATGGTACCATCAGCCGGGTCCTGACCCCACGCTGGGGCTCCCAGGGGTGGTGCCTCACCCCCCCACTCACCTGGCATGATGACCTCCGGGTAGCCCAGCTTGCGAGCCACCACCGTGCTGCGATCCACCAGGTGTGGGTGGTCCTTCCGCACCTGGCTCAGGTCTCCCCACAGCATCTTCAGGGACACCCAGAGCCCTGTGGGGATCACGGCAGCTTTTCAAGGGGTGCCAGCAGGAGCTGCAGCAGCCCAGGGCCAGCCAGGAACCGCAGCGAGTCCCCAGCCCTGCAGGAAATGGCCTGAGGGCTGCCCCTTGTGCAGGCAGGTGGGTCCCTGAGCACGAGCAGCAGCTGCAGGGATAGATGGATGTCCTGGGGAGGGGTCTCACCTCCCTCCCCACCACAGTGCACAGTGGGCACAGGAGATACTGAGGACACAAACTCTTTACCTTGTCCCTTGTGGTTGATGTCCTTCCCCTCCACTGCCTTCCGGATCATGTTGTGAAGAAAATCACTGTCAGCAGCCACCCTGAAAAAGCCATATTTATGGGAAAAACTTTTCCTCTTTGATCCTCACACCTCTTGTTCCCTTGCAATCAGGGTCCCCATGCCAGCCAGGCCCTGGAGCGCTGCCCCCCTGCCCGCTCCTCCCTGCCCATGGGGCTCACAGGTGGACAGGGATGAAGTGCTGCTTGTCCTCGTCGCTGTCACATGTCCCCTTGGTGATGTCGGTGATGTCCATCACTGCAGTGACACAGAGATGACACTGACAGGTGGCTGCAGGGGCACAAGCACCCCCAGGCCCCATTCTCATGCCAAACCCTCCCAGGGCCAGCACCCAGGAGAGTTTTGTCCTGTCCTGCAGCTGCGGCATCACCTGTGCCCCCCACAGTGTCCCTGCTGTGCCCTACAGGGAGCTCCTCCCGCCCCGCTGAGACCCCTCTGGCACCGCCAAGCTGCATGGGGTCTGGGCAGGGGAAAACCCACTTGGCTCCATGATGGACACGTGGTGATGACATGGCTGGGACCTGCCACCCCAGGTAGGCCCTACCATCCTGGCACAGCTCACCCCTGGGAAATGCTCTGGGGGTCTGAGCAGCACTAGCATCACTCCAGGACAGGGCAGAGTCAGAACCAGGGTCTCACACAGGTGCCCAGTGTCCCCTCTGTGGCCTCTGGGGATGGCATGGCCACCAACCACTCACTGCAGGTGACCTCAGAGCTCTGGGACAGATTTTGGTCAAAACAAGCCGTATCCAGAGCCACTCCATTGCCCATGGACGAGGACCGGGGCAGGACAGGGCACCAGGATAATCCCTCTGCCCAAGGTGCTGCCACATCCGTAAGTCCCCTGGTGATGTCCCTGACTGCGGTCCTGGCATGCCCTGAGCCAGGTGACATCAATCATCTCCCAGCAATGATCCACAGGGATCGATGCCCAGAGCAGGATCACGGGGGGAGGCAGAGGCAGGAGGGTTCCACGGGGCTGCTCCAGGCACACAGTGGGTTGGGGTTTGTGTGCAGGGACAGGGGACAGGGGGAGCAGCCCGGGGACATCCCAGAGCCTGCTGGCCAAGGGGGGTTGCCGGGGTGGTGTTGCAGGTGAGGACAGGCCCTGGGGGTCTCCATGAACCATCCCCCCCTACCTGAGATGCCGAAGGGCCGGCGCAGGCCCGTGCTGAGCTTGCGGCTGTGGGTGTCCCGCAGGTCCATACGTCCCACCCGGATGATCTGGCACACCAGGAACAGCCGCTCCCGCTTCAGGTCCGTGCTGCCCAGGTCCTGGAGGACAGGGGCTGTGTGACCCTGGCAGCACTGCGGGGGAACGTGCTGGTGCCAGCACCAGCTGATTGTGGGGTGCCCAGGGCTGCGCAGGGTGAACCGGTGGGCACAGAACCACAGCAGGACCCTGTTTCCAGTGCCCTGGGAGGGGCTTGACTGGCAGACACTTGGCCCCACTGTCCCCAGGGTCTTTTGTGCACCCCAGGAGCACCGATGCCAAGGCTAGTGCAGAACGACAGCCCCGCAGGGCACCCTCGGCCAGGCAGCCCAGTGAGAGGGGGGCAACCTGGCATGGCGTGGGGATGGTGGGGAGGCTTCACACCCCAGCTCCAGGCACCCGGGACCTGAGGGTGCTGCCCCCGTGGCAGAACTTTCTGGTGGTGCCGAGGGAAAGGAACAGGGATTTGCCACAGAGCGTGAGGACAAACGGGGACACCAGCAGCGAGCAGAGCAGGAGTTGGAGGTGGGCGAGCGCCGGGAGACGGGAGCGGAGCTGAAATGCTGATGCTGCTCATTAGCACCGATTTTCCCGGCTCCTTTGCATATTGATGGCTCCGCTCCGTCCCGGGGGGTCAGCGCAGCACTGCAGCCGAAGCGCTGAGTCAGCGGGTGCCGCACGGTGAGGGACGGGGCACCCCGAGAACGCCAGCACCCGCACGGGGAGGGGACCCTGCAGGGCGGTGCCATGACCCAGAGTTTGTGCAGGGGCTGGGGCTACTCGAGCAGGGGGAGTGGTGGGGTTTCAGCCACTCGTGGGACCGTGCATGGTGCTGGGGACTCTGAAGCGCTGCGGGTGGAGGCAGCTCTGCAGGAGGGGGCGGTGGGTAGCAGCAGTGCAGCTCCCGGGGGTCTGCGCTCACCGTGAACACGACCTTGAGGTTGTTGAGCAGCTCAATGTCCTGGGGGACCCCAGTGCTGGCCCAGCGCATCACGTAGTTCTCGCTGCGGGGCAGGTGAGGGGTGAAGAGCTGGCGGTGAGGTGGGCACCGGGACAGCAGAGCCCCTGCCAGCTCCCACTGCACACACCCCTCACCCCAACAATGTCCCCAGTCACGGCACAGGGAGTGGCCCAGCCTGGCTGTCCCCAGCGGTGGGGGGAAGCTGCCCACCAGTCACCTCACCACTGCCTCACAGGCTGCCCCAGTGGGCACCAGTGGGTAGGACGTGTCACAGGTTCTCCCACCAGACAGGGCTGCATGCCTGGCATGCCACAACAAACTATCCCACTCCAGAAGAAAAGCCCTTGGGGAAGGGAAGTGCCCCTTTCCCCTGTGACATGTGCTTGGTCCTGCTCAGCTGGGCAGGATGGGCAGCCCAGAGGGGCAATGTGGCACAAAGGGGGAGACGTCACAGGGAGCAGTGGGACTGGCACCTGGCACAGAGGGGGCAGGGGTCTGTCCCGCATCCCGGGACCCCACCTGATGATGCGCTGCTCGCAGGGGTCGTACAGTGCCATGAAGAGCTGCGCCTCCTCCCCAATGTGGCAGACGAAGTTGCGAACGCACAGGTAGAGGCTGTGGGAGGGTGAAGCTGCCCCATGGGTGCTGTGACCCGGTGCTCCTGGCTGTGGGCTCTGGGGAGCACAAGGCAGCTCAGCCCCATGGCTGAGTACCTGGCAGAGCCCCTGGCATGGGGGACATTAGGCTCTGGCAAGGCAGGTATGGGGCCAGTGCCAGCCTCACCATCTCCTCCTGGATGCGCTGGGTGAGGGTCTGTGCTGCTCTCCTGTGTGCCTGGAAGAGGCTGATGATACTGGTCCTGTCGGGGTCCAGAATGTTCTCATCCTCATCCCGCACCACCAGGTCCAGTGCTAGGATCCTGCCGAGGCCAGGGTGGGGTGAGGCAGGACCCTGGGGGGACATGGGTCCATGTGTCCCACCAGGACCCACCTGCCCTCACACAGAGTCTGAGAGGGCAGGACAGACCCAACCGAGCAAGGGAACAGGAGCCAGGCAGCACTAGGGACACTTCTGCCCCAGCCATGGCTCATCAGCCACAGCCCTTGGCCAGGTGGCTTGTGCACCTGCAGGTACGCTCACTGTCCCCAGCCAGCTGGGACGATGGGGACACAGGGACAGCCTGTCAGGGCAGCAGGGACACAAGGTGCCGCAGGGACACGCAGCTGGGACGATGGGGACAGAGGAACAGCCAGTCAGGGCAGCAGGGACATCGAGGGAGCATCTGGGCACCATGCAGCATATGCCCAAGGCAGATTCGGGATCCCTGTGCCCTGTCCCACGCTCACTTGTTGCCATAGTCCATCCTGCCGGTCACCTCCTTCCTGAGCCGCAGAAGTTGGTCCTTGGGCAGTGTCCCTGAGAGCAGCTGTGAGCGCTTCTCCATCAGCTCCTGCATCATCCTCTTCACCTGCTCGTACCGCTCCATCTGCCCAGCCTGCAGCAGGACCGCAGGGTCACCACGTGCCCCGCTGCCCCCCAGCCCGCCCGGTCCCCCAGACTCCCAGCCCTTACCACATAGAGCTGCTTCCAGATGGTGGCCCACTCCCGTAGCGTGGTAGTGATCTCCTGCACCATCGGCATCTCGGCGAGCACCACGCTCTCCTCCACCCTAAGGAAGGCACAGGGACCCCTGGAGACCCCTGACACTGCGGGGACCCCGTGCCAGGCAGGGGATGGAGCCCATCACCCCTGCCCCATACCTACCCCCGGTGCTCTACCGTGGCGCCCTTCAGCCGGATCACTGATGCTGGGAAGATGCCCTGGGGAAGCCAGAGCTGTTGGCACTCCCGGGCTGGGAAACATCGCTCTGGGAAGGCATGGCTGGGGCCTCCAGCCCGCTGTGCCCACTGCAGCCCCTCAACCCCCCAGCATGGGCAGGGCGAGACGCTGGTCATGCCTCCCCAGACCCCCAGTAAGGACAGGGTGAGCCACCAGCCATGCCCCCCCTCACCTACCTGGGCAGCCCTGTTCCGGAGCGAGTACCCGCGGTACCAACCTGCGAGGGGAGGGAGGGAGACCCTGTCAGCCAGGCTGGGAGGCCCAAGCCACGGGGCCAAGGGAGGGTGCAGAAAGCCCCCATGTTGGGGTGCAGCTGGGGGTCCCTCTTACCCTCGGAGGCCTGCAGGATGTGCACTGTCTCCCCAATCTGCAGCGGGAGGTGATGCTCCTTGGTGCTCGGGAAGTTCCACACGGCTGCAGGGAGAGGGGCCAGGAGCTGGGAGTTGGAGTCCCTGCCTGGCACCAGCACAGCCCCCCAGGATCTGTGCACCTGCGCCCCACACAGCCAGCCCCGCACGGGGGGCAGAGCACCCCAACAGGCATCACTCAGCCACAACAGACGAGGCAGAGCACCAACCCCACAAACAGCCTGAGACCCCCCAAGCAGCCCAGCCCTGCACCCCAGGAGAGCTGTGGCACAGCCCAAAGAGGGCCAGGCACAACAGGAGCCTCCAGCCACCTCCTCGAGCTCTCAGGGGTCCCCTACGGGACCCCCCTTCCTACCAGTGGTCCTGCTCCTGGCACAAGCAGTGTGGAGAGGCAAGTGCAATCTGAGCCCTGCCCAGGGCTGGTGACCCAAGGATAGGTCAGAGTCGGGACAGTGGAGCTGGTGGCCAGAGAGGAAGGCGGTGGGGACAGGAGCTCACTGTTGGCCAACCGCTTCCTGCCCCAGACGAGTTGCGGTTGTCCCTGTCACTATTTCTGTCCCCGGGGAAAGGGACAGCTCTGGTGCAGGCAGCCCTGGCTTGGCTTCCAGACTGGAGGAGAGTCCCTTGCACTCGGGGGTTGCACGGGACCCTGATCCAGCCAGGACCAGCAGCAGCTCAGCCCTTGCTCAGGTGCTGCCCAGGACCCCGCGGGGCTCAGCCCTCGCTCCGGCGCTGCCGACACTGCGAGGGGAGGGTGCAGGAAACAGCCCCCAACAGAAACGGGAAGAGGCACAGAGCTGCCAGGGCCAGCACAAGCTGAGGGTGCTGCAGGGCACAGGGAAGCCCGGAGCTTTGCCTTTACAGACACTGAGGTGGGAACAAAGCCCCACCCGGCACCTGGGGCAAATTACTGGGGTGTGTCAGGGCGCAGCCAGGCTGAGCCCAGACCCACAGCCTGGCAGGGAGGGCCAGGCCATTTGCCAAACCCCCACTCTAGCGCTGTGCCCCCAGTGCTTCCCATCCCCACCAGCACCAGCCTTGCGACCTCTGGGCATGTGGGTCCCGCTGACACACCTGCCCTGCTCAGTCCCGTCCCCTGGGCCATCCATCACCAGCCCTGCAACCCCTGCCAACTCCCCTTTCACTCCTGCACCCACCGGCCCACCTAGCGCCAGACATCCCTGGGACCCGGCCCCCTCCCCACATCCCCTCACACTGGCACTGTCCCAGCAGCACAGGTGGCACTGCCCAGCCACCATCACCTGCCACCGGTGCAGGGCCACTGCAGCCAAAGAGGGCACTATCAGTGTCACTGAGCGGGGACCCCCACAGGGTCCAGTGCTTGCAGCCCCCCACTCACCCACGCCATACTTCTCCTCCTTGGTGGGCAGCCAGGGTGCCATGGCCACCGTGCCGGAGGACGGGGGCTGTGCAGAGGGACCGGGGTGCTGCAGAGCCACTGCTAGTTCCTCCTGCTGCGCTCCCCGCGTCACGTGTACCCCCAGCTTGTGAAACCTCTGCTTCCTTACTGCGCTGCGGGGTGTGGGGGTCCCAGCCCACCGCCCTGCGCTCCACCACGTGCCACGCCCCCAAGAGCTCGGGCTGGGGGTCACTGGGGCTGCTGGCGTGGGTGATGTGGCAGCACTGTGACCACCTCGGCTGAGCAACGTCGCTGCAGCTCCCAGCCAGAGGGACGTGGGACTGCAGCGGGGGGGCTAGGAGCGAGCACAGCTCTGGCCGCACCATGGCATGAGGAGCCAAATGGAGCCATGTGCCTTTGCCAGCTGTGATGCTCCAAACCAGCGCTGCCGGGACAAAGCCTCCGCCACCGTGCCTTATCTTGTTTAATTACAACAAAAAGTCTCCGACTCCCTCACACACATAAGATTTTATGAACAAAGTTAACCCTTCTATTACACAGCGGTGCATGGCACAGCCCTGGTTCCTGCCCTGCCCAGCCCTCCACTGCCGCGGCTGCAGGAGGGCGCGCAGAGCAACGGCTAAGCACCAGCCACTTCCTTCCTCCCGCGGCACCAGGATCCTTCCCTGTGCCCCACAACCCCTTTGCGGGTCCCCAGTTTCCCCATCAGCCTGAGACTGCCCTGGGGTTCCCCCGGCTGCAGATTCCGACAGACCCCCCCGGGCCCAAAGCCGGCTCTGGGCAGCCTGCACTGACCCATGAGGCCAAGGAAGAGCTAGGGGCACGAGTGGGTTTGAGAGCCGCTGGAGTCGGGTTTGGGGGGATCTGGTGCTCCGATGCCGCTGCCTGGGCCGAGGTGCGAGGGCGGGACCTGCGGGAGCCACCGGGGCAGTCGCTATCCCTCCCGGGAAAGCTCGACATGTGCAGCCAGATCCCCACCGCCGCACCGACCTGCCGGGGACAAACGGACAGAACCCCGGCAGCGGCACGGTACAACCCCTGGCCCGCGCACGCCGAGGTGCCGGGGCTCTCGGAGAGCGGGAAACGCAGGTGGCTCCAGGCTTTCACTGCGTGCAGCCTGCGGCGTTCCCGGCTCCCGCAGGGATCGCTCGGCCCCGGCTCTGCCCCGCTGCCCGGCGCCGGTCGGGGAGCTCCACCTGCCGGTTCCGCCGGGAGCCGCCAGTACAGGACGCCCCGCTCCGACACCTGGATGAGCGGCACCGTTACGGCATGTTCCGGTACAGCATACTCGGCACCAGCACCGGGATGTCCGGTACTGAGACGTTCGGTCCCGGTAGGAGTCGCGCATAGGCTGTGGCTGCAGCCGCGCACGGCTTGCGGCGGAGGGCCCCGGGCACGGCGAGGCCGTGGCCGGAGACAGAAGGAACTCGGTGGTCCTGAGGATGCGGGCCCCGGGGACTTTGGAGCTCGGGGACGCCGGGGGACCCCGGGGGATGAAGGGCTCGGGGATATCGGGGGTGGGGATGTCGGGGGTCGCGAGGGTGCGGAGCTCGGATCCCGGCGGATGGAGAGCTCGGGGGTCGCGAGGGCTGCGGCGCTGGGGGATACCGGCCCGGCGCGGGCGCTGATTGGGTGCCGAGGCGGTCACGTGGCAGTGTCCCCGGGCGGGGGCGGCGGCGCGCGCAGGTGAGCGGGGCCGGAAGCGGAACCGGGAGCTCGGCCGGGGGAGCGCGGGGGACCCGCCCCGGCCCGCCCCCAGCCCCGGCCCCGGCCCCGGCCCGCCCGCTCCGGTGCTCAGCTGCCCGGTCCCGCCCGCTCCGTACAGGTGCTCTGCCGGCTCGGTCCGGCCCGTGACATTCGGGAACGGCATTCCCAAGGTGTCCGCCCCCTCCCGTACCCCTTGTGCCTCGTCCCCACACATAGCCCTGTCCGGTCCCCGCACCCCGCTCGGTCCTGCCGGCTTCTCCCGGTGACCCGTCCTGGTCCCCCCGTTCCGTGCCCGCTCCCCGCGCCCCGGCCGTGTGACCCCCCGCCCCTGTCGCTGCCCCGTGCCCGGTGCCCGCGGCTCCCTCTCCCCGCGGGACTAGACGTGGCACCGGGCTGCCCCGGCTCCTTCCCGGGACGCAGGAGAGGGTGGGTCAGCGCCGGTGCCGCTCCACCCCCGCCCGCCCCGCAGCTCCGGTGTCCCCGCCATGGCCGGCTGCGGGGCCCCGGGGCCCCTGCCCGGGCCGAGCGACCCCGGCTCCGCTCTGGGGGAGGAGGAAGAGGAGGATGAAGAGCCGTCCCTGGGCTGCGACGGGGACCTGGAGGTGAATCCTTACGACGGGCTGCCCTTCTCCTCCCGCTACTATGAGCTGCTGCGGCAGCGCCGGGAGCTGCCGGTCTGGACCACCAAGTACAGCTTCATGGAGCACCTGGAGGGGAGCAGCGGCATCGTCCTGGTGTCCGGCCCGCCCGGCACCGGCAAGAGCACCCAGGTGAGGGGAAGGGCTGTCCCGGGGCAGGAGGGTGTCCGGCCTCGCCGGGCACTGCACGCGGGTCCTCCCGGGGCCTACGGAAGCACCTGAGCCGTTGGAACACACGGAGGGGGTACCGGAACCCTGGGGCCGCTGCACTGAGCCCGGCGGGGAGAGGGATGTGCCGGGGCCTGTGCTGGGCCCCGGGCAGAGCCTTGGCACGAGCCGGGAAGCACTGCCGCGAGAGCAGCTGGCCCCGGAGATGGCACGGGGAGGGGGGAACAGCCCCTTCCCACGGCTGCGCCCGGTCAGGGCCGGTGGCAGGGCTGAGGTGCCGTTTCCCTCCCACCCGCTCCAGGGAGCTGGTCCCACCCGGCAGCCACTGGCGGCACCCGGGAACAGCACCAGGGACTTTGACCAGGGAGGGATCACTGGAGCTGCCATGGGGCTGCACTGGGCTGGGTCAGCACTGTTGGCCCTGGGCTCTTGGGGTGTGGGCCCTGGGCTCGGGGCACTCGCCCAAATCACCTCCCTGGGTGTGACCTGCTGAGTTCCTGGGCTCAGCCAGCCCTGATAGATTTGGGGAATAAATCACCCGTGTGGGCCCCAGGGCTGGTGTTTTTGAGCGCAGCCCTGGGACACTGGGAGCACGGGCACTGCTCATGGGGGGTCCACGGGACAGAGTAAAGCAGGACTCTGGTGCCCAGGGGACATCCATGTGGCACTGGCATTGTCCCACACTGCCTAGCTGGGCGCTTGGTCAGCAACTACTCCCTGAGGCTCCCTTCCCTGTCACTCTCTGACGGTTTTCCTGGGCCATTTTCCCGTATCCCTATTGTGACAGCAGGGCTGTGGTGTCCCATACCAGGGCAGGAAGCTGTGGGTGTGGGGTGCTGGGACTCCTGTCACAGGTTGTGGAATTCAGAGGTGAAAGGAGTAGGGAGGGAAGGTCCTGCCTGGGCTGTGAATGCCTCTGGTTAGCCCCTGGCCCCAAAGGTCCTGCAGCTGGATCCCTGTGCCCTCTGGAGGGGCACAGCAGCGAGGGGCTGGTCCTGAGACAGCGCTGACCCCCACCCTGTCCCCACAGATCCCGCAGTGGTGCGCCGAGTACGCTCTGTCCCTGCAGTTCGCTCACGGGTTGGTGGCCTGCACCCAGCCCCACAGCCTGGCTGCCCTCAGCCTCTCCCTGCGCGTGGCCGATGAGATGGACCTGAACCTGGGCCACGAGGTGGGTTACTGCGTGCCCCACGAGGACTGCTGCACCGCCGAGACCATCCTCAGGTACGGGAGGGACGGAGCCCGGCAGGCCTGTGCTGGGAGTGCAGCGCTCTAATCCTGCTGAGCTCCCGTAATCCCTTAATCCAGCCGGGGAGCGGCGCCGGCGGGGGCTGCCTGCTGCAGGGCGCTGCTGTGGGGAGGGGCCGAGGCGCTCCCCCCAGCCGGGGGTGTGCGCTGACAGGGTGGGTCGTGGCAGATTCTGCTCGGACGAGATGCTGCTGCGGGAGATGACGTCGGACCCGCTGCTGCGGCAGTACGGGGTGGTGGTGCTGGACGAGGCGCAGGAGCGCACGGTGCCCACGGACGCGCTGCTGGGGCTGCTCAAGGACGTGTTGCGCCAGCGCCCGGCGCTGCGGCTCGTGGTGATCACCGCCCCTGCCCTGGAGCCGCGGCTGCGCGCTTTCTGCGGGGACCCCCCTGTGGTGCGGGTCCCGGGCCACAGCCCCCCGCCACAGCTGCTCTACCGGGAGCCGCTGGCCCACGGGCGCGTGGCCGCTGCCTGCCAGGCCGTGCTGGACATCCACCGGCGCCAGGAGCCCGGCCACATCCTGATCTTCCTGGCCAGCGAGCAGGTGAGCTGTGGGGGGAACAGGGCGGGAGAGGCTTGGGGGTCCCTCTCAGTGGGGAGCCCTGAGGATGCTAAGGCATGCTGGAGACTAAACTAGGGGAGCTGAGGCTCCTCTGCAGAGGGGCTGTGAGTGCTGATGGGCGCTGATGAGCAGTGGAAGACGAGTGCGAGGCACGGAGCAGCACCCTGACCTCGGGATGGGGACGCTTCAGATGTCAGCAGGTGTCACCTGTGCCCCCTGTCCTTCCCCAGGAGATCTCCGAGTGCTGTGCTGCCATCCAGACGGAGGCCGTGGCACTGAGCCCAGCTCTGGGCCCGCTGCTGGTGCTGCCGCTGCACCCTGGGGTGGGCCGGGCCGCACAGCGACTGTACGAGACGCCCGAGGAGAGCCGGGAGCGGCGCGTCATCGTCACCCACTGGCTCGGGGACTCGTCCTTCTCTCTGGGCGCCGTGCGCTTCGTCATCGACTCGGGGCTGGAGCTGCGCAGCGTGAGTGGGATGGGGGACAGGGAGGGTTGGCTCTGCTCCAGGCACAGTGGGGGGTGGGCTGCAGGGTCTGCTCAGCTGTTGCGATGCTCCAGGCTGGGATGAGGGAGGTGGCAGCGGTGGCCCTGCACTGGTAGATGAGGGGGCTTGGGGTACGGTGGGGGCTCCCCTGCGGTGTCCCCCTCACAGCCTCGCTGCAGGTGTACAACCCCCGCATCCGTGCCGAGTCCCAGGTGCTGCGGCCCATCAGCCGGAGCCAGGCAGAGTCCCGCATGCAGCGGGCAGCTGGCAGCCCCCCAGGTGAGACGCCTGCCCCGGTGTCCCCCCTTGGGGCTGTTGTCCCACCCCCTGGGACCCCTCGCAGCCGTGTCCCACCTCATGGCCCCTCTCCTGCAGGCACCTGCCTGCGCCTGTACTCAGAGGCCTTTGAGCAGCGCCTGCCCCCCAGCCCCGCGCCGCACGTCAGTGAGACCAGCCTGAGCCGCCTCGTGCTGCTGCTGAAGCGCCTGGACATCGCTGACATGGGCCAGTGCGACTTCCTTGACCGCCCAGGTAGAGCCTGTGGGGTGGGGTGGGGACCAGGCATGCTGTGGGGGGCTGTGCCAGAGAGCTGCAGGCTGGCCATGGCCATGACTGTGGCCTGGACTGTGGAGAGGGGCTGGGGGGCCTGGCAGCTGTAGGAGGAGGGTGGGCAGAGCTGCCTAACATCCCACCCCAGCCCCTGAGTCGCTGATGCAAGCGCTGGAGGACCTGGACTACCTGGCGGCTCTGGATGACGATGGGAACCTGTCAGAGGTGGGGATCATCATGTCGGAGTTTCCACTGGACCCGCAGCTAGCCAAGGCCCTCATCGCCTCCTGCGAGTTCGACTGCGTGGAGGAGATGGTCAGCCTGGCTGCCATGCTCACAGGTACCGTGCGGGGGCAGCCAGCACTGCAGGGGGGTGCTGGGGGCACACCGTGACCCCCCTGCCCACCCTCAGCGTCCCCCTGCTTCGTACCCCCATCCACACACCTGGAGGAGGCCGTGGCCCTGCGCCGGCGGGCACTGCTGCACCCCAACGGGGACCACTTCACCCTCATCAACATCTTCAATGCCTTCCAGCAGCGTGAGCATGGGCAGGGGCTGGGGGCGGGGGGCTGCACTCCTGTGGGCATCCCACAGCCCCTCACCTGCCCCCTGCACACCTGCAGCTGTCCCACAGCCGCCCTGCGTTGCCTCTGTGTCGCGGCAGGCATCCCACAGCCCCTTCACCTGTCCCCTGCTCCTTTGTGAAGTGGTACCACAGCCATGTTCCTGACCCCAGCCCGGTCCCTGTCCCTGGTGCAGGGAGGGGATGCAGCCGGTGGGAGCTCTGCCAGCTTCTGTAACCCCTGACCCCCCAGCCCTCTGAGGTCTCTGCTCCCCCATCCCTGTGTCGTTCGCTCTGCTGTCCTGTCCCCATGTCACTGACCTTGGTGTTGAATTCTTGTCCCTGTATCACTGCCCCTGCTGTCCCATCCCGATCCCCACACCGCTGACCCTGCTGTCCCATCCCGATCCCCACACCGCTGACCCTGCTGTCCCATCCCGATCCCCACGCCGCTGACCCTGCTGTCCCATCCCGATCCCCACGCCGCTGACCCTGCTGTCCCATCCCGATCCCCACACCGCTGACCCTGCTGTCCTGCAGACGCCGGGGACGAGGGCTGGTGCCGGAAGCACGGGGTGGGTGTGGAGGAGCTGCGCCTGGCGGGCACCGTGCGCGCAGAGCTGCTGGAGGTGATGCGGCGCATCGAGCTGCCAGTCTCGCCGCCCGCCTTCGGCTCCGACACCAACACCCTCAACATCCAGCGGGCCCTCATCTCTGGGTACTTCCTAAAGGTGGGCCCAGGGGCTGTGGGGGGCTGCGAAGGGCTGTGGGGGGTGTGCCAGCCACCCTGCTCCCTCCTGCTCCGCTCCCAGGTCGCACGCGACATTGACGGCTCGGGCAACTACGTGATGCTGACACACAAACACGTGGCACACCTGGCCCCTGCCTGCGGGTACCTGCTGCGGCCGCCCCCCCGCCGCCTGCCCTCCTGGGTGCTCTACCATGAGTTCACCATCTCCCAGGACAACTGCCTGCGTGTGGTCTCGGAGATCCAGCCCCAAATGTGAGGGCACGGGGACAGGGACGGACAGGGCCCTCTGGTGGGTCCCCACTGCTGACTGACCCCCTGTCCCCACAGGTTGGTGGAGCTGGCCCCCCAGTACTACCTGAGCAACCTGCCACCCAGCGAGGGCCGCGACCTGCTGATGGAGCTGCGGGAGAAGATGGTGGCAGCGGAGGATGCGCCAGCAGGGCCAGAGCCGCTGGCGGAGGCGGCCGGACGGGAGGCTGTGGAGGGGGACGTCTGTGTCCTGCAGTGAGCCGGAGCACCGGAGCCCCAGCGGGGCTGTCTGGGCTTGGCCGTGACACTGGAGCCAGGGGAGCCCTGGAGGGTCCCTGGGGGGGCCGTGCGGCTGTGGGGGCTGTCCCTGGCCCCAGGGAGGTGCGGGCTGACCGGGCATGGCCTCAGTGCTGCACTGCGGTCAGTCACGGACCAGCGGCTGTGGGGCCACCGCAGCACCTCAGAGCACAGACTGGGGAGTGCTGGCCCCGGCTGGGGGACTCATGGGGGCCCTCCCCACCGGCCTCCTTCCCCCCATCTTTTCCCAGGGTTCTGCTGGGGTGGGGGCACTACCTGTCCTGCTCCCCCCATGCCCAGGGCCAAGGGGCCACTCACGGGTCCCTCCTGTATAAAGTTTTGTGACCTTTGTTCCTGGCCTCGTGTCCGTGACTGTAGCCAAGAGGTCCAGTCAGGGTAGGGTCTGTCCTGCCGAGGGACACTGCGGACGGGTCTGACTGGGGTGGGCTCTGTCCCTGCTCCTTCCCTCTCTGGAGAGTTTCTGGCTGTGAGGCCTCGCTCCCCTCCCACCTCTGTTTCAAGTGTCATGCTGGGGCCCCAGCCATGCTAAGGTCTGAGGGCAGCCCTGGCCTTTTCACCGGGGCTTCCCTTCCCTGGTTGTGGTTCTTCTGCAGAAGCCAAGGGGAAGCTGTGGCCAGCGAGGGGGGGTGAGCAACCCCCCAAACCTACTGCTGGTGCCTCCTCTCCCCAGAGGAGATAGGGCATGGGTGCACCTCCAGGCGAGGTGCCTGCTCTCCTCCCTCCCCTCTTGTGGTCCCCCCATTCCAGCCTCAGAATCCCCTACAGCCCTACATCCCCTACTTCGGCAAGGGCTGAGCCTCTGCCCGGGGGGTCGGGGGTCCTGCCTCTCCCTTCCCTCCCTGCAGCCCATGCACAGGGGTTTGGCTCTGTTCAGGAAGGGGCCTGGAGGCTCCACTGCCCTGTGCTGGCCACAGTGACCCGAAAGGTGAGGGCTGGGCTCCCCAAGGCTCCCGAAGCCCCCACTTCCCCTTTACTTTCTAGGAACTCCAGAAAGTACATGAGCAGGCACAGCATTCCCCTTCCAGGGCAGGGGCTGCCCTGTGCCCTCACCCTGAGTTGGCAGTGGTTGCAATGGCAAAGGGGGGGCTGATGGCCACAGTGCATCCTGTGCACACACCATCCCTGCATGGTGTCTCATGGCATGTGCAGTGGCCCAAGGATGGGAGGGAAGGGTCAAGACAACCTGTGCTGCAGCCCAGGCAGCAGGGCCCAGCCCCTCTCTGGCCCTCAGGGGCCAGCGCTGATGGACCTCAGATGGTCCCACTGGACCACTGATGGTCCCACCCCAGGGCAGGGTGCTGTGTGGGCTCTGTGGGGCATGTGGCGATGTGCAGACCCTTGGGGTGGTGCAGGGCTCAGGACTCCTCTGGAGGAACTGGGACCAGCCAGGACCCCGGCACCATCCTGCTTGGCCCCTGCTGCCCCTCGCCTGGCCACTCCTGGGTTGACCCGTCCTCCAGCGGTCAGGGCAGGGCAGGTGCCTGGTGACCCCTGCCCGGGAAGTACCGGCGGTGAGTCCCAGGGCTGGGTGGGTGGGTGGGGGGCTGAGCGTGGGTCCCACACAGCCTCTCTCCACTTCTGAGAATTGTGATGCTGCTGTGGTTGCACCTTGGGGCACCCCCATGGAGTCCAACCCAGTATAAATTGGCAGCCCCCGGCCCCACCGTGCCCACCGAAGCCACTGGAGCGGCAGGCACAGAGGTAGGCAGAGCACGGGAGGGTGGGGGGTCCCGGGATGACGGGGGGGATCTCGAGGGTGTCCTACTCAGGGATGCTGCTCCTAGGGCCAGGGACTCTGCCCTTGCTGGCCCTGCTGGCTCTGCCCCTCTCCTGGGGTATGTCCAGCTCCCCACCTTGGGGCTGCCCTTCCCCTACCCTTCCCTTCCCCTCCCAGATGCTGGGGCTGGTGGGGCTGGTGCTGTGCCTCGTGCCTGTGGACACCCTGACTGTCTTCCCCCCAAAATGTGAGTGCTGCTGCCACCCGGGCACAAGGGAGGCCTTGGAGGGGGGAACCTCCTGGTGGGAGGGGGCTGCAGGGACCTCACAGCGGTTGGAGGGAGCAGGGGGCACACCTGTCCTGCATCCTTCTGATAGGGCTTGGGACGGCTCTGCTCAGGGGTTTGAGAGAGGGCATGAGGGTGATGGGGGGTGGCTGTGGGGTGAGGGAGAGTGGGGATGGATGTGGGGTGATGGATGGAGCAGGTGGGAATGGATTTTGGGTGCAGGAGCAGGGTGGGGACTGTGGTGCAGGATGGCTGAGGGGCACCCAGCCCCATGCTGGTGTGAGGGACAAGCTGCCTCCATCATAGCCCATCTCTGACCTCAGACTCTGCCTCTCACCTCCAGTCCAGGTGGGGAAGCTGAACGGGGATGTGGTGGTGCAGTGTGACACATTGGAGCCGCACATCAGCTGGACACTGAACGGGGAGCAGGAGCCTATGGCTGAACTGGTGGCCGAGGGCCAGAACCTCACCATCCTCGGCTTGGACTTACCAGCCACGGGCAACTACAGCTGCTGGGCTGGCCCAGTCCTGCTGGACACCACCTACGTGGTAGTCAGCAGCACCTGTAAGAGGGGACACTGCAGGGAGAGCCTGGCGGGGGGGGGGAGGGGGGGCAGGGTCTGGGGCCAGGCTGGGGACCTGGAGCTGTTCACATGTTGTCCGTGGGAATGCACCAGGCAGGGCTTTGGGGCTGGGGGAGCCTCACCAGCGCTGTGCAGGGAGGGGGCACCGCTCCTGGCCCCACAAAGCCCTGACCCCCCCTTGGCCCCCAGACGAAGAGGAGATGGACGTGACCTGCCAGGCTGAGTCCTACCACGGCTCCTTCCACTGCTCCTGGCCCGGGCCCCCCTCTGCCGTCTTCCGTGCCCGCCTCACACACAGGTGTGTGCCCTGGGACCTCCCAAACCCAGCCCAGCCCCTTGGTTGCCCAGCCCTCATAAGTGCTCTCACCTCCCTCCCTGCAGCGATGGCTCCGTGGGTCTGTGGGTGCCAGTGGCCGGGGGCCACGGCCAGTTCAGCGTCAGCCTGGCCGACCCCTCATTTTGCCCCTTCGGTGAGGAGCTGCGTCCGCTGCGGCTGCACCTGGAGGGGCTCTCAGATACCTCCTACCTCAGCCTCTCTAGGCACTTCTTCCTCCGTGACATTGGTGAGCTCAGGGCAGGAACAGCCCGAGGGATGGGGATGTTCAAAGGGCACTGGGGGCTCTGAGGGGGGCTCGGCCCCCATCCTGAGCCCCCTCTGCCCGCAGTGCGTCCTGACCCGCCCCAGGAGCTGACCCTGCGGTGGCAGGGGGAGCAGCTCCACCTGGCCTGGGCACCCCCAGCCTCCTGGCAGCTCCCCAAGTCCTACTTCGCGCTGCTCTACCATCTACAGTACGAGCTCCCCAACGGCACCCAGGTAATCCCACATGCACCCACTCTGCCCCAGCCTGGGCTCCTCCCTGTGCCAGGGGGGCATTGGGAACAGGGACTCTGCAGGTTCAGCCCTGGCCCCCTCCCCACTCCTCTGCTTCTCTCCTTGAGGCAATGATTTGTCACCCCTGGCTGTCACCTCTGCTCCCCCAGCTCTTTTGCAATGGTTTCCCCCTACCCCCGGGATCTGCCCAGGCCATGACCTGCCCCCTTTGCAGGTGGAGCGGTTCGTGGAGGGCGTGGAGGAGACACAGGTGCAAGTGGGTGCACAGCGAGTGCGCATCAGCTGCCGGGACCCCTACACCCCCCCGGCTTGGAGCCCCTGGAGCCCCTGGCAGGACCTCAATGCACCACAATAATGCTGGCTCTGAGCACACTGACCCCATGCACAGGCATCTCCTTTCCTTCCCCCCCGCAAACCTCCGGGGGACCCCCGGGGCAGGGGGGACCCCCATGGGACAGCCACGAGCACTAGCACCCTGGTGCTCTCCCT